TCCGGTTAGCAACCTGGTTCTGTTAACAGTGTGGTTCTGTTAGCAGCATGATTGTTTGGTCAGGACTGGTCCGGGTCAGTCTTGGCTCTCTCCCCATGGATTCTGCAGGCCAGCCGAAACACAAGTTTCTGTAGCTCATCTTCTATCCTGTGTTGTGCTTTATTTAACCAGACAAATCCCACTGAGATCACAGATCTCTTTAAGGCTCTTTTGGGCTAACATGAAGGTTTTTGGATTGTGAAAGGAAATGGAAAAAACAAACAAACAAGAGGAGAACATGCAAACTCCACACAGAAAGACCCCAGATACAAATCAGGAATTGAACCCTGGACTTTCTTGCTGTGAGGCAGAAGTGCTAACCACTAATCCATCATGCTTAATGAAGGTGGGTCATGAATAAACAAGGAAGGCTATGTTTATGTTTCTTTCAAAGACCTAAAAACTTTACATAAAATTAGACATTTCTTACATGGATGGCATTTATCTGGCCTCCGGTTCTAATGTTAAAAATCTTGGTGTTATTTTTGATCAGGACATGTCTTTTAACCCCCATATTAAAAATGCTAACAGAACCGCTTTCCTCCACCTGCGTAATGTCTCTAAGATTATAAATATCTTGTCCAAAAATGATGCAGAAAAACTGGTCCATGCATTTATCACATCTAGTTTGGACTATTCCAATGGTTTACTATCTGGATTTATAAATACTTCTTTAAAACGTCTTCAGTTGATCCAAAATGCTGCTGCCAGAGTCTTAACTGGAGTTAGTAGGAGAGATCATATCTCTCCAGTTTTAGCTTCTCTCCAATGGCTCCCTGTCAAGTCCAGAATAGAATTCAAAATCTCACTTCTAACCTACAAAGCCCTCAACAACCTAGCTCCATCTTATATTTGAGATCTTATTGTTACATGCTGCATTTCCCCAACTAGAGCACTTCACTCTCAGACTGCAGGTTTACTTGCGGTTTCTAGTGTTTTCAAAAGCAGAATGGGGGGAAGATCTTCCAGTTATCAGGCTCGTCTTGTGGAACCAACTTTCAGTTTCTGTCCATGAGGCTGACACATTGTCCAGTTTTAAGACTGGGTTTAAGTCATACCTTTTTGATAAATCCTATAGTTAGGGTTGGTTTGGGTTTCCTGAGCTATCCCTTAGACTTAGACTGCTGGAGGACAAACTGACCACATTTCTTCACTATGCTACTGTCTTTACTTACTCTGCTCAACCTGTTTTGTATTTGTAATTTTCTTCTATCCTTCACATGTGTTTTTATTCCTTCTTTCAGGTACACCTTCACCTACATCTGGACCTGTCAATCTGTCTTTGTTTGTTTCTCCTTCAATTCAATTCAGTTTATTTATATAGCGCCAAATCACAACAAAGTTGTCTCAGGGCACTTTACAGGAACATTCACATACATAAAAGCCAATTAGTAAAGTTCTCTATCTAAGGAAGCTAGCAGACAAGTTGAATCTTCATTTTATCGCAATCTCCCATCCTGAGCAAGCAGAGGCAACAGTGGAAAGGAAAAACTCCCTTTTAAAAGTAAGAAACCTCCAGCTGAACCAGGCTCAGGACAAGCGGCCGTCTGCTTTGACCTGCTGAGTTTGTTTTCACACCAGATAGTCCGGTAGACTCGGTTCGGTTGGGGACCAATATTCATGACGTTTTGTGTACATTTGAGCTGGTGCGTTTGCATTCACACTGCACTGTGCAGTCGAGCCAACCTGTTGAACCAACCTGTTCCCCCACTCGCCTGTGGGGGCGCTGCCCCAAGAACTACTGAAAGAAACAACACAAAAACCTCTGAAGACACTTCTTCGTCTTCTTCTTCTAGAAATAAAAACAAAAATGGAGTGGCATCAAATTTTAGTGGTTTTAGGAGTTCTATTTTGTCATTTTTCAACAATGGACTCCTCATGAGCAGAAGATGAGGCAGAAGACCATGGAGAATATTGTTTTTCAAAGTCAGAGTCAGAGTTTCTTTATTGTCATTCACATCTCATGTGGTACATGTGGTGGAACGAAATTATGTACACAGGGTCCCGGTTACATCCATCCATCCATTATCTTTACCCGCTTATTCCATTTTGGGTCACGGGGGTTGCTGGTGCCCATGTCCATCAATCACTGTGCGAGGGGTGGGGTACACCCTGGACGGGTCGCAAGTCCATCACAGGGCCACATAGAGACAAAAGAGACAAACAACCATTCACTCTCTCACTCACAACTAGGGACAATTCAGAGTTACCAATCAGCCTAACATGCATGTTTTTGGTCTGTGGGAGGAAACCGGAGCACCCGGAGAAAACACACGCATGCACGGAGAGAACATGCAAACTCCACCCAGAAGGCCCCTGGACCGGGGTTTGAACCAAGGACCTGCTCGCTGAGAGGCAGCAGCTCTACCAGTTGCGCCACCATGCTGCCCGGGTCCCAGTTACATCCAACAATAAAATGTAAAAGAAAAACAATGATAACATCTAAGATATTAACTAAGAAAAACATCAGTTAAATATACACTAAGCACTAATAGCATAAGAAAAAACATTACGTCGAACATCAGCACAAACATGAGCACACACGAACACATCAACATTGAAACAGATCAGCAGCAACATGATGTGATTCTTCACAGTGATAATTCTGGTTAGAGATTCATGAGTCT